TTGCTAACCATTTCACCACGCCGAGGAGCCCAAACTTACCATCGTCTATATCGGAAACATACGGAGTTCTCCAGGAAGAGAAAAACAGAAATTTATTTTGCTTAACGTGGGTGGTGAGGCAAATTTATTTTAACAAACGAACATAGCAATTTAAAATGTCTTGTTTTTAGAGATTACTTAGACCAATATTTGTTAGACGAATGTTACTTAGACCAATATTCTTTAGATAAATGTTCCTTAGACCAATATTCATTAGACGAATGTCTCTTAGACTAATATTTTTTAGACGAATGTTCCTTAGACCAATATTCATTAGACAAATGTTCCTTAGAGCAATATTCTTTAGACGAATGTTCCTTAGACCAATATTCATTAGACAAATGTTGCTTAGACCAATATTCTTTAGACGAATGACCCTTAGACCAATATTCTTTAGACAAATGTTCCTTAGACAAATATTCTTTAGACGAATGTTACTTAGACCAATATTCTTTAGACAAATGTTCCTTAGACCAATATTCATTAGACAAATATTGCTTAGACCAATATTCTTTAGACGAATGTCCCTTAGAGCAATATACTTTAGACAAATGTTGCTTATACCAATAATCTTTAGACGAATGTTTCTTAGACCAATATTCTTTAGACGAATGTTTCTTAGACCAATATTCTTTAGACGAATGTTACTTAGACCAATATTCTTTAGACAAATGTTCGTTAGACCAATATTCTTTAGGCGAATGTTTCTTAGACCAATATTCTTTAGACGAATGTTACTTAGACCAATATTCTTTAGACAAACGTTCCTTAGATCAATATTCTTTAGACAAATGTTCCTTGACCAATATTCTTTAGACGAATGTCTCTTAGACCAATATTCTTTACCCTCGTCTATATCGGAAACGTACGGAGTTCTCCAGGAAGAGAAAAACAAAAATTTATTTTGCTTAACGTGGGTGGTGAGGCAAATTTATCTTAACAAACGAACGTAGCAATTTAAAATGTCTTGTTTTTAGAGATTACATAGACCAATATTCGTTAGACGAATGTTACTTAGACCAATATTCTTTAGATGAATGTTCCTTAGACCAATATTCATTAGACGAATGTCTCTTAGACTAATATTTTTAGACGAATGTTCCTTAGACCACTATTCATTAGACAAATGTTCTTTAGAGCAATATTCTTTAGACGAATGTTCCTTAGATCAATATTCATTAGACAAATGTTGCTTAGACCAATATTCTTTAGACGAATGTCCCTTAGACCAATATTCTTTATACAAATGTTCCTTAGACCAATATTCTTTAGACGAATGTTTCTTAGACCAATATTCTTTAGACGAATGTTACTTAGACCTATATTCTTTAGACCAATGTTCCTTAGACCAATATTCTTTAGACAAATGTTCCTTAGAATAATATTCTTTAGACGAACGTCTCTTAGACCAATATTCTTTAGACAATCGTTCCTTAGATCAATATTCTTTAGACAAAGGTTTCTTGACCAATATTCTTTAAATGAATGTCTCTTAGACCAATATTCTTTAGTAGAATGTTCCTTATACCAATATTCATTAGACGAATGTTCCTTAATCCGTGAGGCTCAAACAACGATATAAAGATCTTGACAGAAAAGATATGGCTGTTATATTTAATAAAGTGTTAGGAAGCAAAAAAAGGAAAAGAAATTTGAGAATCGACGAGAACAAGAATACGAAAATATATTGAATGTGCCAAAAAATGATTTGCGCTGAGGGAAATGGATTGTCGAACGTGAAAAAAGATGATTTTATTCTGATATACATTTCAAAATAGCAAAGAATAAATTCGCATCGCGTACATTTACAGAAATCGTAAAAGAATTTCTTTAGTTTTTAAATTTCAACTTGAAAATCTGTCAAAATTTCATTGTGTGAAATCTGTTTTCCCAATGACAAGATCTGAACAGAGGAAATTTTTTTAACGAATTGTATATATAAACATGCATATGTGTACGTATATATATATATATATATATATATATATATATATATGTGTGTGTGTGTGTGTGTGTGTCTGTGTGTATATATATATATATATATATATATATATATGTGTGTGTATATATATCTATCTATCTATCTATCTATCTATCTATCTATCTATATATATATATATATATATATATATATATGATAACGATAACAAAGATAGTGTGAAGCCAGGAATGCTTTAAGTCAGGGAAAGTCTGAAAGAAACGAAAATTAGCCCTTTGAACCCTGCATTCTTGAACAATTTTAACCCTTCGGCCGAGTTCCTGATTCAAAATTAGCAAATAATTGGTATATATTGTTTCACGTTAGATATAAAAATGGTTACATGTATTTAGCCACCGTTCAACCGGTAGCTGGACATTAAGTCATTTTTCGCTACCACTGTTCAACCGGAGGATATTGATAGGATTTATACATATATAAAATTTGTCACTTAGCTGATTGATAATCAATTACGCAACTCAT